TTTGAATTAATTTATTATACAATTAATTGTTTATTATCAATTTTAAATAATACAAATGGTAAATTATTACCATCTACTCAATTAGGAAGTTCTTTATTTAGTGGAGTTACTAAAAATGAAATTATAAATTATCAATTAATTATTTTACAAAAATTTAATATTTCAAATATAATTGAAATTTTAAATTTATTAAAAGGAATTGTAAATTCACCAATTAGAGAATCTATAAATAATTGGAAATATTCAAAACAACAAACAAGATCATTAGAAGAATATTTAAATATTTTATTATTATTTTTAAAAAATTTATTTGATAAATTTAATTTTAAAGAAATTTCTTTAAAAATTGAAAATTTAATTCAAGAAATTTTAAATCAATCTTTTAATTTAATTGAAAAACAAACAAATCCATTATTAAATTCATTTAAATTACAATATCAAGAAAAAAAAGATAAAATTATAAAATTATCTAAAATTTTACAATCAATTCAAAATATTTCAAATTTAAATGATCAAGATTATTATAAAACTTTAACTTTATCAAGTAAATCTTTAATTGATTTAGAAAATGAAGAAATTGAATTAAAATATAAAACTTTTAAACAATTAACTCAAAATACAAATATAGATTCAGATTTATTTAACAAATTATTAGAATATTTTCAAAATATTTCAGATAAAAAAACTGGTACTTTATCTAGAAATGATTTTATTAATATTATTATGAAATTATTTAATATTAATGATAAATTATTTATTGAAAATCATTTCAATTTATTTGATACTGATCATTCTGGTAAAATTGATTTTAGAGAATTTGTTGTTGCTTTTTTAATGTTTTATAATCAATTAAATAATAATAATAATAATAATTTAAATAATAATATAAATAATAATAATAATTTAAATAATAATAATAATTTAAATAATAATAATAATAATACAGAACAAGTATTATATCATTTATTTAATACATTTGATATTAATAAGGATAATTCAATTACATTTGATGAATTATTACATATGAGAAGATCAATGAGTAAATTTCAAAATTTAAATGAAAATCAATTATTGAATGAAACTAGAATTATTTTTGATCAATTAGATACAGATAAGAATGGTATTATTGATTTTAATGAATTTGTACATGCTTTTAAATCTGGTTTATTAATTATTTAAATAAATTATTGTTAAACACCTCCTCTACTATTACTTTGCATTTGTTGTAACATTTGCCATATTACTATTATGATTGTTCTTGTTTCTTTTATTCAATACAGATGGGGAGATTATTGTAATTTTGATAAACCATGTGTTGGTGGTGAAACGCTTTTTCCCCTTGCTGAACACTAAAAACACTGTTCTAAAAGTGTTAGCTGTAAATGATTTAATCCAGATATTTCTTTATAATCTCAATATTTATTTACACAATATATTTACAATTATTTGGTTTACATATTTACAATTAATTGGATTACTTTCTCTTCTTATTGATGGTAGAAGAAGAACTTGAATTAGTCTTTCTCTTTGAAGTTCTTCTGCAACGTTTTCTTTGTATCTTCTTTTTAAATTTAAATCCAACATGAAAGAAACCTCCAACTCCATTTGATAACATGTTACATCTGAATTTCAACATTAAGGTTTTCAAATTGAAATCTTGATTTGATTCATCATATTTCTTCATAATTAAATTGTCAGGAATTGGTAAAATATCCTTCATAGATGGAAGATAAAATGTTTCAACACCACTCACTCCATTGGAAATCATGTAATTAAATCCCTCTCTTGAATAAATCTTATCTCCATATGATTTAGTATCACGTCCATCATAACAACTAACTCTACCCTTATTCATTGAAAAGAATGAAGATTTGAAAGTTGATTCTAAATTTGATGTTTGTTTTTTTCTCAAATTAATTTCATTATCAACTATTTTTAAATTTTCTAAAAATGGTGAAATATCAGAAATCCAACGATTCTTATCTTGAGAAGTGAGTATATTCTTAATGTTTTCACATTCAGCAATCTCATTGGAATAGATTGATTTGTTCATCTTGAGAATATATTGAGAAATT